TCAGGACTCTGTTAAAACTCAAGAGCAGTTTCAATAATATTAAGCATATAGTCAAACTGAGGTCAACAAATCATAGCACTAGAATTGTTCTTGAGTTAGAATAAAGTTTTGAGCACCATACCATTGGCATGACATTAATGCCCAAATATTCAAACGCTGCTCAATTTTAAGATACCGTTTAGTCTCGTGTTGTTTCTATCACTTTTAAGATTTGCGAGTCCGTAAAATGTGTTAAAAAGCAATTGTCTTGATATTTCATCAATCTTATTATTACATTTTAGCGGATTTTCTCCATAGGGGCTCCAACTTTTCTCTCTGGTATTCGTGTTATTCTTATATATTCGACTTCGGCAGGCTGGTAGACTTAACCAGAATCTTTTGGCACTTTTGCAACTTTCAAGTTCCACATCGGTAGTTTTCGTACTCTCTATTTACCCCTTTTTATTCTATTAAGGGCCTTGGGCATTAATTTCAGCAACCGTAGTATTTTGAGGGTTGAGTTGTACATGTGCACTATCATTTTCGGTGTCTGACGAACTACTAGAACTTGATAAACTCTTGGAGCTACTACTGCTGGTACTGCACGAAGACAACGATGAATTTTTACTTTAATGAATCAGTCAGAAATTGGGATCTTTATCTGAGTTATGAATGCAACTTTCGTCAATTCGGATTGGTGAAATGTAATTATTTCTTGCACCGTTTTAACGTGGTAGAGCCGTGCTGCATCTATCTTATACTTGTAGTATGAATTGGTCGGTTTGACCGCGGAAGGACCACGCTCTCACAGAATACCAGCATAAAAGAGCAGCTTAAAGCTGTTGTGTTTCGTTTCGTGAGTATAGAGAACCGGAGACCCTTTTTACTGGAAAGGAGGCGTTCCATCTTAGTGCTCACCCTTATCCTATAAAAAAAACATTCTGCTGTTGTTTAGATGTACTCGAAGTAGATTATCAACTTTTCTTGTATGAGTCTTCATTGCTTAATCTTAAGGTCATCTTCTAGCTAGCGATCTGTTTACTATTTACTAGTATAGTCTCCTTCTGTATTATTTGTTCAAACTCCTCTTCCAAAGGTCTAGTATAAGATTGCATATTTTCATATTGAGTCAGTAAGCTTACTGACTCAATATGAAAATATGCTGGGGCTAATGTTTTATTTGTCCCTCTCTTTAACAATATTTACTAAAAACCATTCACGATAAATTATTTTTCTGAAATGGAAAATGTTAATTTCACTAATCATCAGGTCCAGTATGCCAAATCAATTTAATAAGCAATCGATTTAACGCTTCGATCTCATCAACTTGATGCGCTGTACTGTGGCCCATCTAAACAGCTCTAACTTAAAAACTGTTCAACAAAAACACAACAAGCTGTGTAATTGTCAGTATATATATATATACATCAAGATGAAAAGACTTATTCAACACTAGCGAAACAGTTAAATTTCATTGGTTTTTTAAAGAAATATAAGAGTTTAAAAAGTTACTCGACAAAATAGAGTTAACTACTCGTACAAATACAAAAATTTTTCAAAAACATGGTAACAATTCTAAATGAAAACAAAAACTTTGCTCACTTTACTAACAACACTGGTTCAACTCAAAATGTAGCTTTAAGTTACTTAGCACTCACCATCAAAACGGTGACAACTCAAAATAATCTTAATATAGTTTCCTGATTTAACTGAACAACACGGAATTAAATGAAAATAACTCTAATTTGTTTATGAAGGGCATGTGTGTTCCGCTTGTAATATTGACTGCAACTAGCGATGTCCCTGTTTTAATGTGATAGGAGTGGGGCTTGCTCGTTCAACTAAAGGGGCTTCTACGGTCACCTAGCTTTGAGTTGTAAAACTATTTTAGAATTTGTTTTATTGGTCGCTACGTAGTGACTTAAGGAATTCGATGGTATGCATGACTCAAAAATATAATTTTTGAGTTAGCTCTCTTTAGATCTAGGTGTGCGATTATCTCTTTTGTATTTATAAGAAGTTGATAGCAAATTTATCAAGGATCATTTCGTACTTCTACACTTTTCATATACCGTGTATATATTCTATTTTACATATATTCATTAAAACTGGAAAATACCGCGATTCCGTACACTTTCTGGGGCGGAAGGGGGGGGGGGGGCACATATGCCGATTGATAAAAGCATTCCGTTTGTTTTGCCAATTTTTCCATACATTGCTATATAAATTGCTAAACTAGGTGTCATGTCATGTTGCGTGGGTCAAACACGTGATATACGCAGGTAAAACCGCGGGGCATAGCTAGTAATTAATAAATTAAAACCAAACCCTAGCATACCACTGCAAGACTTCAAGATACTGTAAGCTCATCGTGCGTAGATCAGACCACAAATTAATATTCAAAAACTGAAGGTAGCCGGGCTCACTATGACATTGGGACGTCAAACATTTTAGTTTCCCCCGTGACCATGTTTAAGGCGATAAAATCCGTAAAATTAGTTTCATTTACTTTTTTAAACTTTAGGTTATTTTAAGATATATATATTTACTTTAAACTTTTAAAAAAAAATATTTCACTTGATTCCGAAGAGCTTATTTATTACCTGTCTGCATTTTGCGCCAATTTGGCGTTGTATGGCGGTCATCTGGTGTTTATTAACAATTTCATACGCTAAAAATTCTCTTGCTAGTATAATACCGTCGGATTCCTATTAGAAAATATTTATACATATAATTAAAAGAGTAAATTTTGTTAGAGAATAAAATGTATGGGCAATAAAAATGTAGATTTTAATTATTTATTTATAGTTTATTAGGAAATACAAAACAACAAAAACGCTACGCATTGAATGTAATTTGAACGGACTGTATCACGTTCACTAAACCTATTTTTATATAACTGACGTTTTGCCTACTTTGTAAAACTCAAGGTCAAGAGAGTGCTGATGTGTTTAATGTATCAATACCATTATTAACCCTAGCTACCTTCACTTTAAAATTATTAATTTAACTTGAAATATTATCTTGAAGTTTTTTTTATAGAATAAGGGTGACAAATGTCCAACTGTTGGTAAATGTGGGCTGAGGCTCATAAGCCTACATCTATTTTTGATTAAGAATCAAATTTCCTTGTCACCCCTGAGAACTAAAATAGAATGGGTTATAACCAGTAAAAAGGATAACTGGTTCTCTGCACTCAGCATAAGAAACACAGCTGCATTAAGCTTCTATTTTATGCTATATGTATTTTATATATTTTTTGAGAGCATGGTTCTCCCCCAGTCAAGGCAACCCTAAATTCATGCTACAAGCATAATATAGCGGCAGCATGGCCCTACTACGTATGGATGAACTATTGAAGGCAGTAACACTCACCCATTTTCTCTATTGAATTTAGGTGATTTTATTTCAATAATCTTGGACACTTTAATAACCTTTCCTGAATGAAACAGATTCATAAACGTAGGAAATAAAAAAATAAGTAAATCCGTAAAACTTGTTTCATTCAATGCCCTTATTTAGTTGACCCAAATATTATAAACTAATTAATATAAAAAAAAAACTCAGTAAACTTGAATACAATATTGAATACCTCGATAATTGCATCAATATTGTCTAAGCCTTCCTGCTCACAAATAGTGCTAATAACTTGTGGTATCCAATCTTCCTCAAAGAGTTTTCTTACTTTTTGTAATGTTTGAGAACGACGAACCGAATTCATAATGATTATATCAAGCTAAAGGTACAGAATTCAAAACATATTTTAGATTACCATAGAATATATATAATCTCTGATCAATACTCTGAAGTTTAGTCTGTAGAAGCGGTCCGTTAGTGCATTAATAGTAGAGAGCTGATTTCCCAAAAAAAATATAAACCAAAAAAAATAGTAAATTTACAGCGATAATTTATTGTTGTTATACAAAACCAGACAGAGACCAGACAGTCTGCAGCCCTGACTTGGGCAAAGCTACTTAGGTGTGAGTTAAACCAAGACGCCGAGAGCGCCATTGAGAATAGCGATCCGCCAAACAAGAATCGCAGAGACAAAATGCTGCAAAACATAACAAGCATCAATACGACTGTCGTCGAGCTTACACCATCCCAAGTTCCCTCATAGCAGCAGACATCACCACCCGCATACCTCTATCGACCAGAACCACAAGATGCGTCAAATCAAACGCACCATACCCGCATTTCCGTTACAAGACATCATATCGCAAGTAGCAGTAAGCATCAATGCAACAAGCGTACGGATGGCGCCCTCTCTCAACCCACATGAGCCCTTTCTCGATCGACTTGGCAACAAAATTGGTAATGTTGTTATTTAAAAAATAACAACGTTGGTAGAGCCACGCGGCAGTTTTTGCTGTTGCACATATGGGCCGACTCGAGCCGGGTTGGTACCACGACCTCACAGAATACCGGCGTGAAGTAGAAGCTCTGCTTCTGCGTTTCGTCTGGTGAGTGCAGGTGGCCGGAGGCCCATCCCCCCCATAGATATTTGGGGTCATAATTTCGTGAACCAAATAATTGGGGAAATAAAATAATGTAACTGTAATTATATTTTAAGTATAAAAGAAGATGATGGATGCTGGTGGCTCAGAATCGTCCCTTGTGGCATTCCTTGAAGTAGAGGCTCATGTTTATCAGTGAACTTATTAAGGGCTGTAAAAATGATGATGGATTAGAAAAACTTAACATGCTTTAGGTCAAATTTAATATGACGTGTTATTTATTTCATACGCGGTATAACCACGCAGAAGCGGGTTATAGCTAAGGATCACGCTCGCACTGAATACAAGTCTAAAGTAGCAGCATGATGCTGATGTGTTCCGTATAGTATGTGACGAGAACCGGATACCCTTTGTATTGGTAATGAGGTACTTCTTCTTCATATGCAGGGGTGAAAACGCTTATTTACTTAAATTCTTTATGTGTCTGTAGGTTACAGCATCCACCAATAATCACAAAAACTGTGTGCTCGTTTTTTTAATCTAAGTATACCATAAAGTGTAATATCATTTATTGGAACCTAAGCACTTAACTGAAAATTCCTTTGCAAATTCAATCATGCTTAAGTCATATTTAGATAGTGGTGGTTTTATATGCTTGATTCCACGCACGCAGAGAAACTCCATATCGCTAATTAAGCCTCCTTGAATGATTTTACATTTGATAGTCTGTTCGTTAATTACTTCCAAACAAAACATTGTCACTTTTCCACAGCCTAAGGTTATTTCAGTTCGAGGTTTTATGAGTTTAAACGTATAATAGTCATCCATGAAGAGTTTGTTTTTAGTGCATTTGTTCCAGTATTTTTTATCGCAAGTGATATCTATCATTTCATTTTCTTTTAATTCAATCTCTGTCATACCTAATTTCTAAAATAAATGTTTTCATTATGTCATGTTACGAAACTTTAACTTTCAAGTATCTAGGTATAATCGTTTCTAATTTTGTTTTCCTTAACTGTAACAGCCTATCAAAAGACAGCTGAATATAGGCCTCCCTGATTTGCCTCATAGGGGGATATTGGTCATAGTTGTCACGCATTGTAAGGGCTGGCAGCTCCATTTTTTTGTTGTTATGAAGAAAACGCTGCTGCCCATCTCCTGGTATGTTTTCTTCTGTCGCTCTTGTGATACAGACAGGACAATATGGGATAGTGGAAATTTTATATCGCTACTACAAGGTCATAATTTTCTTAAATATAATTTTTTTTAAATATATAATTGCATGGAGTAAGCATAGAACAAGAGAAATCTTTAATAACTTACTTCGTCTAAGCATCCAGTTTTAATACAAGCATTTGGCAAGTCAATGGAAATTGCAATCGGCCAGGTTGGAACATCATGCTTTTCACACATAGCTTTCACAGCTTGCTTAAATTTCGCTAATAATACTATTTTATCGTTTCTAGTTAGCTTAATCATTTTGAATCTAATAATACCCAGACCTATCTCTATAAAATTTTCTATATCAATAGAAGTTAAGCTTGTTCCACCTGTGACATAAACAATCGAAATCATTTTATTGTATTTAAAGTTTGCGTACAAAATAATAATAAATATTTTGTTATTATTTGTTTTGAAGGAGAAACCTCCTTCAAAACAAAGAAATGTTCTGTACATTTGCGTACTAAAGTTAGTGACCGGGGTCTTTCGCCACCTGATGGTAAATGTATGCTTTGGCCCATAGACACCCACATCTGCCGTCAATTCAAAATTAAAATATAGATGCTTCACCCCTGCGGACATAGTATACGAGTAGAATGCCTCGTAACCAGTAAACACGATAACTGGTTCTTTGCACTCAACATACAAAACACAAAGCATTAAGCTACAATTTTATGCTAGTACTCTGTGAGAGCGTGGTTCTTCTCCGGTGGAGTCGACACATTCGTGCTGCAGTGATATTATAGCAGCAGTAAGGATCAACTAGGTTAAATTTGGGGGAGTTGATTATTAAGCGTGTTTCCTACAACGGTTCCTACTCAGATACGGTATCGGAACAAAGATGAAGACTATCTACTACTTTTCCTTCACTAGCCTGTATTAGTCGACTGCAGGACATTGGCCTCTCTCGTTTCTGAGAGTTACCTTAATCGTCGTGCTTGGTAGGTGTATTGGCACTCGCAGTACCAGACATTTCACACCGCTGATGCTGCTGTCCGTCGCCGGCACTGCCCTTTATTAAAGGTGTAAGATATTTCAGCCATTTCCCACAGTTCCTTTTTACGGGTCGAAATACCGTGATGGATTCACTTACAGCCAGATCACGCCCTAGCATTTTAATCCGCGTAGGTCTAGTGGTCAAATTACGTATTGGGCCAAAAATTTATTTTGGATATTCTGTCAAAACATTCTCAGTAGCAACCCGGAGACAGGAAAATGGCGGTGTTTTTTAGGGATCATGAAATTGCCTCGAAAAAACATGTAATATTGGTTGGCCCTGCGCCTGATCTCTCTCCGGTCATGTTGGATTGCCGTCTCATTGACTGACGACCCGGACTATGAGAGTAAGTGATCTATTTACCTGTGCCATCGCATATACAATCACTATACACTATTTTCTTTTCCTGCTAGCGCTACTGCGTAATTGGCTAGTTTCTGGTTAGACTGGCGGCTGTGACCGGATTTTGGTTTGCAGGACATTACTAAGTTGGTTTATTTTACATAAGTTATCAATTAATTACTGGTTTTTTGTTAATTTATTATTTGCAATATTTAAATTAAAAGTTACAGTCTATAAACGTCCCACTGCTGGGCACAGGCCTCCTCTCATTTCTGAGAGGGTTTTAGGGCAAGGAAAGGTCTGCCGCGCTGCCCCAATGCGTGTTGTTTACAACTATAATAACAGTTTCTTTTTACGAAAACTTTACGTACAGAACGTGATAATAAACGGTGTTAGTCTGTAATTTTTCTGTTTTTCCGTTTGAAAAAGCTTTTTATTCAGCAGACTTCTGTTATATTTCATTCTTGTTGAACCCATTGCCTGAAAATTTAAACGAAATTAATAACTAATGTTCCAAAACCATTTTGCAGTCAAAGAAAAATCTGGAAAGAATAGAATGGAGTTAAAGTGTATTACATTTAGATTAAAATAACCTTATAATAAATACCTTATTTTTACTTATCTTTTAATAATATTTCGTAAATTCTTAAGAATTACTGTCCTCAATAACTATGAACAATCTGATACATAAATAAGAGGAGCTTTTTCTTTAAGTATCTTTATCAATATTTAGCCGGCTTAAAAAAGGAGTAGGTTTGCAATTCGATTTTATGTTATTTTTTGTATCTATGTTACGTGATATCGTCGTTGAATGTGTGATATTATTTGTTAATTTCATAATACCATAAAATATAAAGTAAAACTTTACCCCTGAGGTAGGAAAAATATGGAATGAAGATTTTAATGCAACTATTAAGACGACATTCGTGTTAGTGTTATTACTTAATTTACTCAAAAAAAAAAAGAATGAAATATTTTCCGCATATTCTCATCCGAACTCGAAGTTTTAATACTTTAATTGTATTTCTATGTGTTAAGATCGGTGCTATTATTAATATTATACTTTTTATAATCCAATTTTGAAATGGAAAACCAAATTCCTTCAATTTTGTTCACCTGATGGAAATTAGCTAGTGCATCATATTGATTTTTTTTTTTGTTTTTATATAATAAGGATGACAAACGAGCGCACACCTAAATGGCAAGTGAATGCTGTGGCCCATCGACATTATCCATACATTTATCCTCGATCAAGAATCAAAATGCAGATGCGTTGTCACCCCTAAGTACTAAGCTGGAATGCCTCGTTTCCAGTAAAAATGGTCTCCACACTCACCGTACGAAACACAGCAGCATTAAGCTGCTATTATACTCTGGTATTCTGTGATGGCGTAGTTCTACCATGGTCAAGCCGATCCATTCATGCTACAACCATAATACAGTGCCAGCGTGGCCACGTTTAAGAAAATATGACCTGCTACCAACCTCAAAAAAGGCTGCAGGTACATTTCACTTCATCGAACTAGGGTGAAATGCCTAGTCTGTAATTATACTGCCTCCCTATGCACCCTTCACAACGGAACAAATCAATGCAAGCACTGCTATTTGGCGGTAAAAATTGGTTAAGACAGTGGTACCTCCCTAGACAGACCCGTAGCTCCTAGGCAGAAAAAGAGGCCTACCATGGTAAACATATTTTGTGTTTAAATTCTAATTTATTTTTATCCACAAGAAATATAACAGATATATTATGTCTACAACAGATTATTTATTTAACCTTTTGCCTTTTATTAAATGTCTACTTAAAAAGATAAATTAAACTCTTGCCTTCTCTTTAAAGCTTCTTCACCGCTGTAGTGTAAAAATAATTTAAAATACTTTATTAATAATTTCGAGTAGAACTGACTTTCGTTTTTAGTGTTCCTGTTTTAATAAATTATAAATAAGTGATAAAAATAATGGTTATAAAATGAAATCCGAGCACGAACCACAGAACACTAATACCCTTAGCACGAACTAGCATATTATTATGTAATACAAATGACATTTTAATTTCTTTTATCACGGAGTATATATTGGTATATATTTTATAATCTGTCATCGTTGTCTTCTTTTCTTTAAAAAATATATAACCGTTAGTGCGTCTGTTATTAGTAATCATGTTACATCAGGACGACTTGTTTGATTTAGGTTACCATCACACAATACCCTCTCCTTCCTGTTTTTGTCGCAAGTTATTTGGGAGCGGCATAGAATGTCTTCCTCTTTCATTGTTCTCCATTAGCCGTCATCTCCCCATTTACTCCTTTACGAAAGTCAAATAATTAAAAAGATTTGGCTTTATGTTTTACATATCAACCCTACTTGGGAATAGGAATAAGGAAAATCAAGAAAGGGTTATCATCACACAATTCCTTTGATTATATACTACCGTGGGCAAAAAATAGTAAGGCATTTTAATTTAAATTTCGCGCGGAAATCCATTCGTCGAAATTTTTTTTACGTTAATATGACTGTCAGTGACATCTGTGCCAAATATCACATCAAAGTAATCATTAGTGTTTAGTATACGCTTATCGATCTGAAGTACAAAAAGTACATTCGGCGATTTTTACAATGAGTGAAATTATTCAAAAAAGAAGTTCAATTAAATTTTGTGTGCGGAATCAAATTTCTGGTGCCGAAACGTTCTGAATGTTGCAAAAGGCCTTCGGTGATAAATGTTTGTCGCGAGCAAGTGTTTTTGATTGGTACAAATTATAATTAATAGAATCATGCGTTACTTTGCGGAAATCAATTATACGAAAGCTTTTAGAAAAATTTACTTCGCAAATATCCGCGTTATAAAATAAAATTATGTGTCTTACCTAGTATGAAGAGCACCTCCCGCCCTACCTCAATTGCGTGCACTATCCCCGTCACCACTAATCCCAGCACCGCTACTCCCAACACCACTACACTAGGCAAGACACACCACTGACGACAATACGACACGTGTTTCGCCTCTACACGAGGCATCCTCAGGTGATATAGACTCTACGGTGGCTAACCGCTAAGTGAGCGACGAGCCATTAACAATTTAATTAAAAAGAAACAAAAGCATGTTATTCGCAACTCTCTGTACGCGGTTCAACCTCAAAGTGTTCATCGATATGTGAGCAGTTTGATCTACTTAGGCCCCATATCTGAAAAAGTAGCTAATACTTTTCGACAAAACGGCGTTGATGTGGCGTTCAAAACAAACAATTCTCATAGAAATATCTGTAATAATAAAGATAAGTTGGATATTCGTCAAAAGTCAGGTGTTTACAAACTTGTTTGTGACGAATGCCACGCCGTTTACGTGGGTCAGACTGGTCGCAATTTCGAGACACGTTATAAAGAGCATTTAGCCGCGTACAGGAATTGCAATCCCGATAAATCCCATTTTGCCAAACATCTTTTGGACACTGGACACCACCTTCCCAACGACCACTCCTTTAAAATCTTACATACGTGTAATAAAGGGCTGCGGCTGTGTGTGCTGGAACAGTTAGAGATATTAAAAAGTAATAATAATACCGTTGCACTGCTGAAAGAACAAACAAATGTTACTAATTGTTCGCGCCAAACGCTGTCAAGAATCGACGCCAGATGGCACTCGGCTCAGCGCGATACCGGTTGAAGTTCGGCCGAGCGTGGCAATGGCGCGCAGGTCGCGATCGAAAAGGCAGAGTCGTCTGTCAGCTGTGCTAACGCTAGCACACTGTCATTTTTTGTTTGGGAACCGCGGTATAGTTTAGACGTCTAGTAAATATCCTGTCTAGGATTTATAACGCAAATTCCTTATTGAATAGCCTTTCCCGGGACTTATTGGGTCCGACTCAGAATCTGTATAAGTGCATTCGACAATATTAGCTAGTGCGACCTTTGATTTTAT